GTACCTCACCCGGGGGAACTGTGTTCCCCCGCGTTCCCCCCCGAAATGACCTCTGTTTGCAATCTAGGTTCTATGCGCTCCAGTAATATACTTGTAGAAAGTGTATTGGTGACTTGATCTTAATAAAAAATGCAGCTCCATCTGGAATAATAAGTTTTATGGCACTACTTGGAACATACCTGGCTAATCAAAGATAATCCATTCCTTCTCCACATTTCTGCAGCAACCTGAGCAACCAATGCTAGGCAACGCAAAGGATATTCTATTAGAAGCTGTACTTGAAATTTTTCCTAAAAATAGAATAACATTAAGTATGAAGAAAACTGACATTCTGAACACAACATTCAGTCAGTAAACAGCAGACAGTGAGGATGTCAATTATAATGTAGTTCCAGAGAGAATCTGAAGGAACTATGCAACTGCAAACTTGGATCGCCTCTCCCTTGATTTGAACTCTTCAGGAGAAGATAGCCGCCTTTCTAGACCCAGATGCAGGACATGTACACAATCTTCCAGCAGTGTGCACAGGCACAGAGGCTGGAAGGAGGCACTGAGTCCCACCCTGGAACCTTTCACTAAGCAGAGGGTCTACATGTTAGTGACTATGTGTGACCCATGCATCAAGGGCAGCCTCATCAAGTGAGTCGTCCAGATCATTAGTTGGAGAGATGAGCTCTCTTGGCGGGAACAGTATTTGCAGTACAAGAGGGCATGATGCCCTCTAGGAGAGGAGGAGGAAAGCAGGTCTGCTGCTCCCTCCACCTCCCCTTCTGGGCAAGGTCCACCCAAAGTCATTTCTAGGATGGCCATGGTGCTGGAGGCCACTGGGGAGGCAGCTGACACCAATGGGAATGTGAGGCACATGAGAAAGGCTTCTGTAGATGCAATGCTGAAGGACTACCTGTCTGAGTCCTACCAAGCTGCTGAGCTGCTGAGGAAGAGATGGTCTGGCTGGACCTCTCCTGTGCCCTCCAACCAGTATGGTGAGTGCATGCGTTTTTCCCCAGATGGGTGATATTGTTGGCTCACACCGCTCATGTTTGTTCCCCTGGAGAATTGAGCAAATGGGTCTTCCTGAAGGTCCACTTGCCATTCTTCAACTACCTAGCACTGGACATTGAAAGTAAGTGAACTGAGTATGTGCTTGTACCTGCGTCCTCTCCGTCTGTGTTGAGGAATCAGAAAAAAACCCTCTTTCCCAAACTTAAAACCCACGGGAAGAAAGAAACAGGAAAGTTACCCAACTTAATTAGTACTATATAAAATCCACATTCCAAATTGTGTTCTAAAGTCCCTCTAACTGAATAGCACAGGGGGATGTTGGTGGGGCTCAGCAGCACTTCTTGGCACAATTCTTTATAGAAAATAATTATGAACAGTGCCAAAAATGTTGTTGTTGCCGTTCTCAGAGAAAACCCCACAAGAGATGCTAGGAAAGTAGACAAGTACCTCAGTTACTACTTGAGTCCCAGTGAGAAAAGACTATAAAAATGTAAACAAATAAAGCAGAATCTACAAAAATACCTCATACACATGTGTGCTGTATTAGTGTTGTGTTACTTCTTTACAGCAGTCCCAGTAATGAGAGCTGCAGCTCCCAAGGCTCCTCCTATGAGCCAATGATGATATAGCATGTAGACTGCAGAGAGGACACTCTGGTGTCCTAAACCCCTATTCCTGTTACTTTTTCAGGCCTTCCTTGGGAAACTGACTTGTGAGAATGAGAGACACTTGCCAGGTCTGGCTGGCTGCATTGGTACTGGCTTGCCAGCTTGGTTTGCCTTGGATTCTCTGGTTTGACTTTGGCTGTGGTGGGCTTGCAACACCACTGTTTTGTTGTGATTCTCTGGTTTTATGTTGGTTCCGTCAGGCTTGTTGATTCTGTTTGAATTTGGAGGCTTTTGGCCAGTGGTTGCTCTTGTGTGTTTGTCTACTGGCTTCTTTGTTCTGGAGGAAGGATGGAATTTTTCCCCATAAGAAACAACAGAAACAAGTAGGATGGCCAGGGCACCTTGTTTAGGAACCTGAAAAATTGGACCCTTTGATCCAATTCACTTGAAACCTGGGAGGTCATTAGTGGACAAGCAGATCCTGGCAATTTTGGTGTAATTTGCTTGAAAAACAGCTGTTGCAGCCCCTTGGAAGGCATCCCTCATAGAAAATAATGGACCCAAAGCTTTTGGAATTCTGAAAGAACAAAACAAAAACCCTCAACAGTATCAGGGACTTGAATAATCCAGAATATCGGTATGGAAATCAGTCCCAAAATACACAAATACTGAATTATTTTCAAGTACACACCCCTAAAAATATATGTACTTTCAGTGGAAATACCTGTTCAGGAAGAGGTTGTAACTGTCAGGGATATCACTTATGCATCTTTCCTCCCTTTTCCTGCAAAAAGCTGTTTTAGAAACTGAACTATGGGTTGGATCTAGCCAGCTTTTCTGCTGGTGAAAAAGGAGAATATGGTGCCCTTTGACCACTAAGGAGGCTGTGCTGGGAATCATACTATTTGCATGGACAAAAGGCATGTGAATTGGGAAGTGGTGTTAAGAGGATAAATAGGTGAGATTGAGTGAAAAAGCTGGCTATATCCAATCTTATGCTTACCCAGCTGAAATACTTACAGAAGATATAAATTCCTGTAATCTAGAGATTGCTCCAGTTTTGATCAACTGTATGTGCAGACCTAGGAAATACACCAACAGTTACATTTATATTTATCAAGACTTGGAGAAGAGGCACATTTCTAGATTTTCTATCATATATTTCAATACTGCTTAAACAAGGCAACATTTTAAAGCTTCTATAGCAATCAGCTGCAATTGTTTAAACAAATTCAGACATAAGTTTACACCGTGCATCACCCAAAAAACACAACACTAAGCTAGGAGAGATCCAGGCTTCTGCTAGTGTCTAGATGAGAGTTCATAGTTGTTTTTACTTTAAAAAACACTGGATGGTTTGAAGAGTGATTACATGTGATCCTGACAAGACATGTAGGCAGTGAATGTACCCATCTTCTGGGGATACTCCTCCCAATACACTCTCAGAAGTTTTACTCATTTAGAGATCAAGTTTCATATCTAGCCGCCAATTAAAACATTAAGAAAGATGCATGTCAGGCAGCATTCTGAAAATGGCACCTGAGAACACATTTTATTGTTCAAGGCTGAGATCATAGACATTCAGACATTACATTTCCACCATCTTTAGATAACAAGATACCCCCCCATAAAATTTGTACCACCAACAGATGTGAAATATTGTCACAAAAATCAGGAATTCAAATTCATGCATAAACCAATTTCCTGAAACTCATCTAAATTATGCCGACAAACATAACTGTCACCTTTCTTTTCTTTTCTTTTTTTTAAAAATTAAATACTTTTTTATTGCTTTTACTAGCAGTAAAGCCCGTTGAGGAAATAAATACAACGAGATCTAGAAAGAGGCTTTGGGGGAGTGCTCTGGCTTTGGGCAAAAAGTGTCAATTTGCTGTGGTGACCTCAGCAGGATATAATGACAGAGTCCACTGTTTTCTCCAGAGGAACTGATCTCTGCTCCCTGAACAGCAGTTGTAATTTTGAGTGATCTGTAGCCCTCACCTGGAGATTGGCAACAATTGTTACCCAGGACGAAATGGCTGGTTTGGAGGGTGGAGTCTATGGCATTCTACCTGTCTGAGGTCCCACCCCTCCGCAAACCCCACCCTCTCCAGGCTCCACCCCTCAAATCCCCAGGAATTTGCCAGCCTGGAGTTGGCAACCCCATCTCCTTCCCAGCTAGCCACCAACCTACCATTATCTGCCCCTTTGACTTCAGCTGACTTCCGCCCTCCCTTCTGCAGAGCAATTGTAATTTTGAGTGGTCTCCAGCCCTCACCTGGAGATTGGCAACAATGGTTCCCCATGAGGGACTGAGTGGTTTGGAGGGTGGAGTCTATGGCATTGTACCTGTCTGAGGTCCCACCCCTCCTCAAACCTCACCCTCTTCAGGCTCCATCCCTCAAATCTCCAGGAATTTCCCATCGGGAGTTGGCAACCCTATCAGGATTGGCCCCAATGTGTTTTCTCCCAAAGGCCAAAGTAGGTGACAGGACCAAGCTTAGTTGCCTACCAACAGGCACTGAGGGGAATGTAGGGTTGCCAGCTCTAAGGAGGGAAATACCTGGAGGTTTGGGGGGTGGATTCTGTAGAGGGCCGGGCGACGGAGGCATCGGCCTTCTGTCGCCCGCCTTGCCCCCCCAATCTCGGCCCGGGCGACTGCGTCCCCCGCCAGCGGCCGCCCGACTCCAGACCCCCCCGCGGCCACTCCAGCCAGGCAACGGAGGCATCGGCCTTCCATCGCCTGCCTCGCCCCCACCCCCCCAATCTCGGCCGGGCGACGGAGGCATCGGCCTTCCGTGCTTCCATATGCAAAAGACCTTGAAGGTTCCATATGCAACTGACATTCCAACTGCCTTGCGGGGAGGGGGGTGAGTTTGAGGTGTGGAATGCAGTGAAGTCCAATCAGCTTCCATATGCAAAAGACCTTGAAGGTTCCATATGCAACTGACATTCCAACTGCCTTGCGGGGAGGGGGGTGAGTTTGAGGTGTGGAATGCAGTGAAGTCCAATCAGCTTCCATATGCAAAAGACCTTGAAGGTTCCATATGCAACTGACATTCCAACTGCCTTGCGGGGAGGGGGGTGAGTTTGAGGTGTGGAATGCAGTGAAGTCCAATCAGCTTCCATATGCAAAAGACCTTGAAACGCTGGGCGGGGTGGTGTGGGCGGGACCGGGCTTCGGCTTCTTATTGTTCGGCAGATATGGTAAGTGGCAGTCCCACCGGCCTAACACTAAAGGGGCCAAATTTAGAATGTTGCGATATAGAACGTTGCTATTCAATTATAATAAGGGAGAGATACTACAAACTACAAAGGTAAGGGAATAAGGGAGTAACTATATTAAAATAAATATGCAAGGATTATATAATAATAGTTGTACTCAATTATAATAAGGGAGAGATACTACAAACTACAAAGGTAAGGGAATAAGGGAGTAACTATATTAAAATAAATATGCAAGGATTATATAATAATAGTTGTACAAAAATTGTACCCAAAACTTGATGTTTCCCCCACAATTGAGCTTTAAGGAATAAAAGTTAGTACTATTATTACAAGGTCAAACTAGTACAAACTGTCACTTTTCTTAATCTGCATATTTTATGGTGAAATATGTCCAGTAACAGTGGCATATAAGCAAACAGACCCAGGGAGGACTGAACTATGTCTTAACAGCCTGTCAATGGTGATCCTTTTATTCTCTCAAGATTTAAGGAGCAATTCAGAAGAGCTTCCGGTTGCAGCGTGGCATTGTGGACACGGCGGAGAATCGCTCTCCTACCGCCCCGGCTTTTTCGTCTCGATTTGTGGGTCTCTAGTGCTGAGAGACCCCCCCGCTTCGCTTGGGAAGAGGGAAAGGAGCAGGGGAGTTTGGCCAGTGCTCCGTTGGTGGCAGCGATGAGAGCTATCTGGCTTTTTCCCAAAGCATTGAGTGGAAAAAGAACCTCCCTTCGGGGAGGCGTAGTTGTCGCTACCGGACACGGGGAGTGGTGGGTTTGTATTTTTGTTAAGAACATTTTTTTAATGCAACCTTATCTGTATTTACTTGATGAAGAAGGCATTCCCAGAGTTGGAAT